AAGTATATTAAACCTCTACAATGGACTTTTTTGAATATTTTAAACATGTTTACAAAAAAACTCTGTTTTTTAAATTTTTAACTCAAGTATTGAAATTAAATCCAAAATGGTTTTTAATAAAATTTAAGTTTGACTGTTAAAAAAATTTTTTCTGATAGTTGAAAAAATATTTTAAACTCCCTGTTCTATATTATTTCAATAAAAACTTTTGGAGTAAAACTTAAACTCCATCTAAAATTTAAAAAAACTTTGTTACAAAAATTATTTGAAGTCTTTTTCAAAAAAAAAAAAAATTTTTTTTGAAGAAATTATAATGATTTTCTCAATAACATCAAAGATATTCATACAATCATAAAATAGCTAAAAGGCATAATTTATGAAGCTTATAAAATGATCAGAGAGTTAGCAGTGGTTCTGTTAACGATCCTCTTTACTTGTATTCACATATGCGATTATATGCAAATTGAACTCTTACCAACTGGATGCGTAATTGCTGATGGTATAAATTCCAACGCCCACACGCATGAGCAGTGAGGCGTGGACTGCAGCAGTGTCGACGGCATAACGCCAACCGTATAGTTTTATTGTCGAGGAAAAGAGCTACGGTGCATAAGCGATTAGTCGGTACTCACTGACCTCGTGCACCTGCTGCTTCCGCGCTCAAGACGATGCACTGCCGACCGACAGGAAATCGCGATTGCTTGCCCTTTCTTTTCCTTGGTATCAATCCGGATGTAAACGTTCATTTAAGCAATGCTTCTAAGTATTTTATGCAACAGTCATAAATAAATTAAAAATATTCTCGAAATGCAAACAACGAATTTTCCATACACACATATGTCCTTTATCTTCATTATGATAAGTTCGTGCAGTAAATTAATTAATCACAAATGGATTTTTTTATGTAATCACTGGTACCTAATGACATTTACAGTATAAAAACAAAACCGGAAGTGTCTTGATGAATGCACGCACGCGCGCACGTTGAACTTACATTTGGTTTGATGGTAAGGAAGATGTTGCCGCATGTGACAATGTAAAACTCATCCGAACGACCATCTCCTTCCTGTCACATCTTATTACCATAGTTCTACACTATGGTGTTATAACAATTAGCATGGTAATTATAAGGAAATTAATGTGTTTGCTAGTGACTTTCCTTAATAATTTAAGTCAGTGTTTCAATTGCCACCAAGGCATTGTAGTGTAACGACTGTCGCTTCGTTGAACTCGCTTTCAATTAGATCTAATTAGCCAAAGAGTTTCTTTATTATACAAATATAGATATAATTATTTTTACCTGGGAATAGGCAAATGTACTTACTATGTCGACAATCTTATTATTTTACATATGAAAATCGTGGTAAAAGTGTAATTATACACACAAGTGTATTGTGTTTCCTTGGGATTTCATAATATCTTTATTATTTTGCATTATTTAAATTAAGTCATGCACTTCTTTCTGGGAGAAATGAGATATTTATTGTTTAATTTCCGTCATAGATGATCTTTTCGTGATAAGATTGTAATTCAGATAAATGATAAACATATCAAGAATAAATTAAAAATTAATTTTGTACACTGAGTGTAATAAAATAATTTGATTTACTATACTGTGTTAATTTTTCATTTAAAATTTCATAGTAGAAAAATGACTTAACTATGAACCGTCAAATAGGAAATTAACACAGCATAATAAATTCAAGTATTTCATTTCTCTCAGTGTATTTTAAAAAAATTTTTTCTTTAAATTTTTTTTTAAATATCTGTCTTATATATATTTTCTAAAATTATTTTAATTAATGATTATTAAATAAAAAGAAATATAGTAGAGTATAAGTTAACATTTTATTGTTTATGTGCATCTAATTACGAGAATAAGTCTGGGAGAGAATAAAAATAAAGAAGAAATTATTTTTTTCTTGGATTTCCAGTGACAATTTACCCTTCTGTAAGAAATCATTATAATCATTCACGTTTCTTTTTTTATCAAACATAAATCAGTGTAGAATAAATATTACTTTGTTTCAACAGAATAATATATTTTTGCTCTGTTTTTCAGTAATATTGAGATATTTAAATTTAAATAATTAAATATGATCAGATAAATCATGATATTTTAAGAGACTATACGTAATTTTATTACTTTTGTTAAATTCATTTAATTGACTTTAATTGAAAGAATGCACAGGAAAATTAGGTAAATGTAAAATTCTTTGAAAATTAAAGGCATCACCGCGTTGACGTATTACACGTTTTTACCACAACACTAATGATATGAGAAAAGAATGATCTTTTTCAATTAACAATGTAAATTAATCAAGCATAATTTAAAAGAATTCTCGTGTTAAACTAATTAGTTGTCATATTTGTGTGTTTCGTCACAGTCGAATGAAGTGAGGTTGTAAAGAATAACATCAATAACAGGCGGTACATAACTTGCAAATTTACAGGAGATGAAACACTCGACTTATTCACTGGTAAAATGAAACTGAGCGTGTGTGTAAAATAGTGACGATTGTAGCAGCTGAATTACCGAGTGGTATATGGGCCTCGTAACCATATCTCATTTCATAGCTTCGTCGTTGAGGAGCGCAAGAAGCTTTCAAAGACGAAAGAGTGTAGAAGACGATGTCGAACCCAATGCGTAACAGATTCGGTTCTCCAATCTTCAGTTCTTCAGACGCGCCGACGCGCATCGAACTGTCCGTGCAAATTTCAATTTTAACTGCTAATCTGCCAGCTAATAGCCCCCCTTCTATTACTCTGCTTCTTCTTCGTATACTTCTGCTCTCACCTTTTTCCATTCTTTTGAGTTGCCAATACTTACTGTCCTTCGACTTTCAATTTGTTCATTGCACTCTCATGACGACCCAACACGAGTACGTACTCCTTTCTTCTCTCAAGGTAGAAAAGACGAATATTTTCTTTGCTCCAAGCTTTTTTAACGGATAAATGTTTTGATAAAGAATTTTTATGTTTCTAAAGGTTGAATAAGATTTTTAAAGAATTAAAAAAATATTTTTCTACATAAAAAAAAATTTATAACATACTTTTTTTTTTATTTTATTACATTATTATAAAGGTATTTATTGAAATAATTTTATTTTTATGTTTCAATAAAAAATTTATTAGTGAAATTACGATCACATTTTAGTCAATCAATTACAAATTTGAGATGAAGCAAAAATTAATTATAAACTAATTTAAAAAAAAGTCCAGCCAACTTAATACAACTTTAAGTTCGTCTTCAAAATCTTTTATTCTTTTTGAAGCATTTACAATTAATAATAACCAAATTTTTCGAGAATTTTATTGATTTGAAAATTTATTACAAATCACATGAAACAATTATTGTCATGCTACAATGGTTAAAGGTCTACCTCTCATCGTATTGAGGAAAAAAATAATTAAATAGCATAGATGTAGATAAAAGAAGAGTCAAGTGTTAGGCAGAGACAATGTGGAATGCTTGAAAAAATTTTTAATTGATTAAAATAAGTTTAAAAATACTCATGGTGCTTCTTATTAATCCATTCAGTTAAATTCACTAATGTTAGTTAATTTTCTAAATTAATTTTCTAAGTTACTCTTTTCTCCTCTGTTATACATTACCTTTTATTTCCCTACTATGTCTTTTATTGTTAAATTTGAATTTTTTGTTGTAAAATTGCATTAGAAAGAGTTAAGAGAAAGAAGGATTTTTAGAGTCATTCAAATCAAAGTATTTAAAACTGTCGAAAGGGAATCAACTACCGTTTGATGTTTATAAGTTAATAAAATCAAGATTAATATTCGTGTGTATAAATGCTGTCAACATACAAGCAACCATCAGTCTTTTAACTCTTGAAAGAGCTCAAGCTTCTTCACTTTCTTTTTACCGACCTGCACCTCTTGCTCATTCCTCGTCACTCTGATGATTTATTGCAATATTTTGACGTAGAATATATGGGAAAGATGAATTGACCAACGACTCTCTTCATGACTAAAAGTTTGCTACCCTCTTTTCGTTTGGCATCACACCCCCTATACCAATGTCCAGAAATGTTCTGTAGCTCTATAAACGCTTCTCACCACTTCTAATCTCGACGACGATTATCTCCATTTTTTTTCTACTATCAATATCTGTGTATTAATCATGTCAATGACAAAAGTGCGGAATTTACTCTACTGTCAAATTTTTTAATACCATTATTCAACTGATATTTTTATATTAATCAATCAGTTCTCTTTTGATCTTGAATGATTTATGCTCAAATCAAATGTTATCAGTATTTTTCTGAAATAAATTTGTTCATCTTCCATTACCATCAATTTATTTTATAATAATCAAAAAGTATTTCAAGTACATATATATTATTGCAATCAATAATCACTCACAGAGATTAAACAGTCCCTATGTACTAAGGAAAATTATTCTTTGGTAGTTTTATGTATAATGGGGTGACTTCTAGGATGATTCTATTCGTTATTCGGAAATTATTGGACCAAGGGCGTGCTAACCCAGTGTCCCTTCTATTGGGGAAAAAATAGAAAAAAGATACGACCAGTCTGTACAGAAATTGTATTGTAGAGCAGTTTATTTTATCCTGTGTATGCAGATGTACATGAAAAAAAATTGAGGGGACAATTTTTTTTTTGCTCATGGGCTGTTTTTTTTCTCTAGAGAAGTCTAATATTTGCATGAGGCGTTTTAGGAAGATCAAGAATCCGAAACGAATTAATGGGACGTTGTGTTAGACTTGTCTATTATAGTCAATAATTTTTATGATCTAGGGAAGTGCATTCGTTTTTTATAAGCCGTTGAACCCCTCGTGATAAGCTTGATAGCTGATGAAAAAAATTAAGTGAATGTCTGTTAGAAGTGGAGGAAATGATTTATTCAAATAGAAATATTGTATTTACAAATCAAACATTTCGTTTTGAATTTATTCTTTGATAAATCAATAAACAATGAATTAATTTTTTATTTTTATTCTAAAATTATTAGTTATCAAGAATTCAATGTAAATGTATTATTCATCATAATTATTGTGTTTCATATTTCATCAACAATTTTATTTAGATCCAAAGTAAGAATTTTTGGAGCAATATAACCCCCATAACCAGGTGCTCCTTTATAAAACAATCCAATTCCTCTGAGAGGAAATCCTGGATCTGTATAAACTGGCTGAGCATCTAAAAATGGCACCACTGTTTGTCCAGCATCTAAATTATCATCTGTTGGCTGGAACTTGACCCACTGAGATTTTTTAAAATCTGGAAGATTTAATGGTGAATTCAATGGATTGTCTACATCATCAAGGTCCAAGTTGTTCCTTAAAAAGAAATCTTAATATTTATCATCTCCAACTTTGATAATAAACATCTAGACATTGATCATAATTCTTACAATGGAGTTTGGTAGAAGATTAATCTATTGTATTGAGCACTGACAGCACCTGATATGAAATCAAACGTTGAGAAGTAGATTTGAATACCAATTGCTTTTTCATGAGCTCTTTCTTGTTGATTGTAACGGTAGTATCGATGGAATTTAACACCTACCAACATAATGAATTAAAATAGTACTTCATTGACTTAGCATGTCATGTTGAGTAAATTTACTTACCAATTATCAATGATGAATTTATGAATGACGGAATCTCGATGTCATTAAGGTTCACATAGTTGCTTTTAAGACCCATTTTTAGTAATGATCTAGAATTTTTAGATTTTTTAAGTGGAACCCATTTCTCACTGCCAGGTAGAATTTTACCTTTTGGCATTAGTTTTCCTTCTTTTATCTGTATATTGATTATGTTCTCATCATCTTTTACAAATTGAACTCCTATTACTACCCTAAATAAATATATTGATTTATATCAATCACAAAATAGACTTAAATTTACTAAAAATAAATCAAATGGATTGAAATACTCAACATATTATTTTTGTAATCAGAAAATTGTGCTTCAGAGTTAAATAATCGTATTGATGATGAATTGGAACCATCTTCCAGACAAGTACATAAACAGTGATTACACAAGTATTCATGTCCATTTGGATAAGTCTCTGATTTATCACTGAATGAACTCATAGTGTAGAAAGGTGTATCATCTAAAATTTTTCCAGGACAGTTATCAGTTTTTTTTCCATAAATATTATTTTCTGCATCTCTCAACCATTGATATCGTCTGCTTGAATTCGCAGGCTGTCAAAAATCACCATCACTTTTATTTTTATTTCTATCAACAAAATTAATTAGCTGATTGTAACCTAAATTACCATTTCACAGATTTCTATATTTTGAGACCAATAATTATAATGTGACCAAGTTCTGCATTTTATAAACTTTCCATGACAATTATTATCACTAAAATTAGCTTTATACCAAGCTGAAGTTAACAGATCACTAGTAGAACCTTTAACATTCTTGCAACTTCCACATTGTTCAAGAAGTGATGATTTTTTTAAATTGACTAGAAACCTTTGAGTGAGCTTTTCAAGTTCAATGTATGTTTCTCCTAGAATAAAATATATTTATTTACACTACTGAGTCTCTCTTATAATTAAAGTTTCTTTATAGATTATTATCCAAGATGCTCTGATTATTTATTTTCCATAAAATTATTCATCTAATTAGTGAACAACATTACACATTACCTTTCATTGGCAATTGAGCATCACATCGATAAACATCAGTTGGCTTTACTTTGGAAAGTATCATCTTTTCTAAGTTAAGATAATTGTTCATTCGTTGTGAGAATCGATTTTTCACGATATTTATATCAAAATGATGGTTCTCTGGAACAGAAAAAAATTATTAATGATATTATAATTAATCTTCATTCTGCATGCCTCAATTTTTTACCCTAAACTAAACATGGGGTAGATTACATTCCATCTATAATTAACAAATAAATTAAAAGAATATTTAATCAAAGATCAACACAAAATCACCCTAAATTAAATTCATTTCTCATCATATTCTTAATTTTCTGCTATTTATCAATTCTTATTTACCATTCATTAAAACTGAACGCATTTTATAGGCTGTAGTGACCATAACTAATGCTCGCGTTTCAACCCTCTGGATCAGCGAGAACAGTTCATATATCCATTGATGTGAAGCATGAAAATCATCACATTGTTTACCAACCTAATAAAACAGAATAGAGTCTTAAATAATAATTAATAAGATACAATCAGTACGTAATTAATCATAAATATACAGCAAACAATAAATTTAAAAAATCACACGTGAAACATAATACCTAAGAGAACATTATATAATTCAATTTAGATTTAATCACATTCGTTATGATATAGTTTATTGCATTAGATGTGCAAATGAATTAACTTACTTTTAGGATATCTATAAAAATGTTTAAACCGCCTTTTTTTATAACTCCTAATTCACCAGGAATGAATAGTGAATAAATATTTTCAACTTTACTCATCAAACTGCTATCACCAATACTTGTTGTTGTTGTGATAAAAGATTGCACAGTGTAATTAGAAATACTTTCATTTTTTAAATGCACAAAATACAGTTGATACATATTGTTTATATCTCTCATATTTTTCTCCATTTCCTTTATATCATTCTCCATTCGTATCATATTGTAAATTTTGTGTGGAATACTCAGGGAAAGGTCATCTAATCTTTGATTCAGATTTATTCCAATTGATTCAAGTTGATTTGATACTTTATTAATTGTATCCAATGTCTTCTGAGGAGTTTTGTCTTTTGGTCCTAGAAAACCAATCCAGAATATTGCACGTTCGATTGTAGAAATAATTCTGTCTGCTTTTGTAAGAATTTGTTTGATAGTTAGAGCAGACGCTGATGATACTTTATTATAGAAAATTAATGAGATTATGAAAATGACATACTTAATATTTATCTTCATTTTGTTGTAATATTAATTAACAGTCATCAATAAATATAGCACTTGAATAATTTTCATTAGGTTTTATGGAAGACTAACTTGAAATATTTTGTTAGAAATTATGTTTATCAATAATAGTTTTATCTTTTAGTTCATGATATTTTATTACCACTGTTGACGTAATTCTGATAAATATTTATTACATTATAATAAAATAGATATTTTACTGATGTCTAGTCATGTTTTAAAAACAAATCAGTAACTTAGTTGTTTTTAATTTTTATTTCTACAAGCTAAAAAAATTTTTTTTCATTAAAATATCCAAGTAATCATGGAAATTAATGGATTTTGAAGTTATTTTCAAATAGATTATGATAATTAAGAAGGATATTTCTGTCAAAGAGAATTTTTTTTATCCATCAAACAATTATCTAGACTAAAAGATGATGTAATGAATAGAGTATCTTATCATGATCTATTTGACCATAACATGAATGAATTACTTATCAGTCATTATCCGTTGAAATTTTTCTAAAACATATATTATAAAATTATGAAAATGAATCTCTTTTTTTTTTTAATACGTAACACATTTGAATAATTTATTTTAAATAATTTTCTTTTCAACCATGCATAATAACTGAATATTTTTTCTCTTCATAATGAATATCTTTATAAAATCTCCATCACTGCAAATCTCAAATTTTAAAGTGTTTTATTTCAATGCACTTGGTGAAGTCATGTTAAAACACTACGATTTGCAGTGATTGCACGTAATTATAATAATTTTAAAGTGTAAGGTTTAATAAAAATGTATATATCGATTTTGGGAAAGATTGAATGAGTTTGTTTCTCAAACGCAGGGTGAGAAGTATAAAAAAAATAGTTCTATCATTTCTTTGAAAATTGGAAGTGGTTAAAATTGTGGGTATATATACAAGTGCAATTTATTTTATATCTTCCTTCCAGTTTAACGCGTCTGCGTCACGCAAAGTTTAAGGGTCGAATAGCTATGCATTTTTTTTTTATTAAAAAGTCTTGCTCTTTTCCGATTCATGGAAATATTGAGGCTGTCAATACTTTCACAGAAATTTGTTTTATTCTCAAATCGCACTCGGGCAGAACATACTTTTGTTTTTTATTTTTAACTTTACCAGAGACCAATTGATCTGAGTAACCATAACAATCAGAAATAATTTTATGCTGCAGTTAGAGCATAACTGTATTCTTAGTATAAAGTCTCTTGATAATTTCTGAACCTTCTTGAGAAAGTTTCGTAGCCAATTCAAGCGTCACTAATTATTCTCAAACGTTACTTTGTATTTAACAGACACATAAAGTAACGAGGAAATCAATTGTTAAAATGAAATAAATTATTAAAATATTACTATGAGTTTTTTAATTACTCTAAATTGAGAGTAATAATGTTTTTTTATGTAATACAATGTTTTGTAATTATGATTTTATCATTAAAAATTATTTGCTAACGTTGCAAAATTAATTATAACTCGAAAAAATGTACTCTTCATCATTAGATATATTTTTGAAACAATTATTTTATTTTAAACCTCAACAATAACTGTTATTATTTATTTTATTATAAAAATAATAAAAAAAATTTATACATGAGACAATAAAATAATGTAAAGCTAGTAATAATAATTCTTAAAACGTTTGACGGAATAATCCTACTAGAGATGAAATTAGAGTAGAGGGAAACCTGACTTTTGCCTCGCAAATGTGAAAACACAAGATGTTAAGTGGTTCAACTAGACTGACGCTTTGAAGCGAGCCGCATTTAAAGCATACTTCACTGCAACAATTTGTGTATGTGAGCATGACTCGATGGATGGAGCTCTCATCAGTACTCAGATTGTATTGCACGATGCTTGAGTTGTGTGCGTAAATGCAGACTTGCATACTGCAGAATAGATACCGCGGTCGAGCGTCAAAGCCATTTACCATTTCTTCCACGAATGTACTTACCATGGTGAGCAAGAAAGCAAGCCATAACGTCGATTACGTCGACAACGCCCCGCTCATTTAATTGCCACGATAATGAGTGCGAAGTCGTTTTTTCTCGGCTTTTTATTATACGATTGTATAAACATTAACTATTCATGAAACTGATGAAAAAATTATTCTATTGATAAAAAATTACTGCCAATAGTTTGTTTTATGACAAATTGGAATTATTATGAGAACTTTAAAAAATTATCTAACAAGTTAGAATTATAAACAATCGATAATTACATTAATGAGAAAATTAAAAAACATTTTTTAAATATTATATTTTAAAATTAAATTAAACGAATTTTATTAATAATTTTTGAATATTCATTATTATTTTATTTATTTTGTTAGTAATTATGATTTTATTATATAATACATACATATGATATAACATGTTAATAATGATTAACAATTAAATAGAATCGAAGAAAGAAGGGAAAATTTTAAATATTCCATTAATTTTAATTTTTTACTAACAGTCTATTCATTTTAATTATAACTCATTAATCATTTTCGTAGTAATTAAATGCAAAAATATTCACTCGTTTCTCAGTAAAAGAAAAAAAAATTTTTTTTACTTAATTAAAATCAATGATATTGAAATATTTTGTTGATTTACATTCTCATAAAAAATATTAATTTATTCATGTTAATTAATTTATTCCAAAGCACAAACAATGTTCATAATAATGCGATAAAAGACTGAATGCAGAAAAGGGTAAAATGATTTCACAGCTGACGCCATTCGACCTTGAATACTTGAGGTTATCCTGATGGAAGCAACAAAATGACAAACATTCGTCACGCTCTGTATGGTTCACTCGTGCTCGCACGAGCGTACGTATTTTCGCACCCACGTAAAAAGGTTTTGCTTGATTCTCAGCTCAGAAACATGTATATTTCACTGTTTGACTCTTGTATAACTCACGCAATGTCGTCCTCGGGTAACCCCGAGTGTAATCAGTCAATTACCCTAATCTCGTGAATATTTTAATGAATAAAAGACATCCGCGAGTGAGCGAAATGCCGCTTCTTTAGAAAAAGGGCCAAGATTGTAATGATGGATTGCAGTGAATACGAATTGAGATCGCGGGTGGAACATTAATAGTGCAAATAAAGTGAACGAGGAAAACGGAGGAGGAGGAGGTCACGCTGAGTCGAGCTTGCGGAACATTATGCATGCGAGGAATGCGCCCTCTCATTATTTCATTCAACCATCTATTGCGCGTTTCAAATAAACTACAGTATAATTGTTCGCTATATTTTTTGTCAAGGTGAATTTGTCGATTATCTTGATAAATAGCGTGGCTAATTCGTTAAATGATTTCATTAAAATTTTTAAATTTATGTCAGAGAGAGGATTTAAATGTTTTATTTCCATCAACAAACATGCACATATATAATAAAAGAAAATACACAAAAAGTTATCAGAATAAAATTGAATCAACTTTTTTTTGCAAATCTTAGGCTGAAAATATTTTATATTTATTCTACTGAGATTCTTTAAAATATTTTTAATATAATGATGGAAGATTGATGTGAGAAAAAATTGTTAAATAATTGAATTAAAAAAAGAAGAAGATGAAGTAAGATTTTATTTGCTGCACTTCAACTACTCTTCATGATACAGAAGGAATGATAAGCTGGCTATCGATTGAAAAACTAGTTAGATTGGAAATAAGCATAATGATCTACTTCCCATTGATTTTCAATTTAAAAATTATTGCTTTGCTTTTTATTGGAATTTTTTTTTTTAACTTCACGATAATTTTTACATCAATCAATATTTTTATAGTTTTATAAATCCTTTCATTAAAATTTTTTTTAAAAACTTTTCTTAATATTTATTAGTATTCAATTATAATCACCTAATGGTGAAGAAAACTCAGCAGATTTTTTGAAATATTTTTAGACTTTTCTCAAGGATTATTTTGTAAGGGTTTTAGTCAACAACCCTATGATTTAACAACTACTCACCAATATAACATTTTTAAGTTATTCAAATGACTTTAAAATCCTACCAAACCTTCAAGTAACTTCTTGACCCGTATAAGACAGTAAAAAAAATACAAGTCACATTTTTATGGACTTCAAAAAGGTAACTTTTAAAGAAAAAAAAAATAAATCAATAAAAAATATCTATTTTTTTTAAATGTTTACTGTAATAATAATATTTTATTATTCATTTCGGAGCTTTGTAGAAGACAGCTGTATTTGTAAACACCATATCTATCATTATACTGATTTTTTATTACTTACCTGAAAAGCGTTACCTTAAAAAAGGAAACTGTAAATCATAAAACACCAAATAATAAAATGTAAAAAGTTGAAAAAGTGTTGTCATAACTAAAGGTAAAAATTATAGATACTTCTTTTAGATGTGGTCAATAGGGTCTTCTGCGTTGTTGAATATTGCAGTTAATTACGGTACCTTCAATACAACGCAAATCATAAATATATAGTAAAAAAGTCAGGTAACAACAGTTTAAAAGTAATAACAAACATTTCTTACTTATTCTTTGTATTCAAAAAAATTCAGTACTAAAAGTCAGAGAACAGTAACGAAAATTTTAACCCATATTCTGAAAGAACGAGGGTTTGCTAACGAAGAAATGCAGCTGTTTCTCAGAAATTGTCACCGAATGACAAAAGTCGTAAAAAAAATAAAGCAAGAATAAAATAAAAGAATTCCTCTTTTTTTCTTATATTATTCGCATACTTGAAGGGATGAAAACCTGCAATTTCGTGCATAATAGCACAATGTTCATTGGTACTTGAAGGAGAAAAAAAAAAATAATAAAGAAAAAAAAAATATTGCTGGTGAAAATCCCAACAGGAGGGAGATACGGTGCTTATTTCGTTGGATTTTTTTTTTTTTTATCAAACTATGCATACAAAGAGAATCAATATGAATCTCAAATATCACGAATTACTCCAAAAAATAAAAAATATTTGAAATCTTAGAATTGGCTTAACGGTACAATCTTGCTTTATGTTGGGTCCACTTAAGCATCATTTTTTTACTTTCGTTTTCACTCTCTTTTTCTTTCTCTTTTCCGTGATGTTAGAGCACACCATATAATGTTCTGCACTCTATTCTAGCATTGTGCAGTAAGGTCTTTGATGGACCAGAATAAAAGCAGAGAAAGCAAAAAAAAAAAAATTAGTCCCTTCTGCTTCACGGTACTTTTCCCAATGTAGGTCATCGTGAAAATATAATAATCATCCTAGTGAACCTGTCAAAAAAAAAAACGACGACGACGAAAAAATTATATACCTGTCATTTGAGTCAGCAGATTATCTAATAGATACCCCAACAGGTTGTATCAATTATCATAATCATAATATGTGTTTAGCTTACCCCCTTTAAACACTTGACTTTAGACTGTAAAAAAGGGTTGAACATCTCTCTCAACATGTGTATCCAGGGCGTTACGATGCAAATACCTGCGCCTTAATATGATGAATGAATAAAAAAGGGTGTAATGGTCGCGTGCATGAAGGGTTGAATTTTATTCAGATTAGAGACCCTCTCGTATTTTTTATTTGAATAGACCTCCAAGGTGTCTGTATAAAATCTCTCAGATTGCCAGGGACAAGTGCTTCATTCCCCTTTTTTTTGGGCCGGTAATCGAGTCAAGTTCCCTAGGGGTTGAATTAAAATTTCTCAAACATCCCAAAGCACCCGTGAATATTTGTCAAGTATTCCTAATGGTATTTAAATCATGTCTGGAGGTAAATAAAAATTTATTACATCTCTATTAAGCAGATAAAGGATGTTTTTTTTTTGTTGATGAAAAATCACGAATTGACGTGAACGAATCAAATAACGAGTGTGGATTATTCGCGCTTTCTTTTCGTGCAATTCAGCTCGTTGCAAAAGTAGTAGTGGGAGTGCGTCATTAAAATCAATACGCGTCCAGCTCTTGCTCTCATTTCAGTAGATTTTAGTATTGTATTTTCCATCTTTATCCATCGTGGACAGACGAGAGGGTGCTCTAGGCCCCTTGCTTAACAGTGTGGGAGTTGTGAATATGGTGGGGATGATGCTCGACAGAGGGATGAAAGTAGGGGAGAGTAGTGCGAAAAGGTGAAGGGAGCGTTGAGGAGGAAAAAGAGAAAAGCTTGGCTGAGGTACACGCAATATAAAATTGAGGGAGTAGGGATATGCGCGCAGTTTGTATGGCCAATAAGAAGCACTTTAAAAGGCTCTTTTCCTCCAAGAAACCGCGCATGTCGGATTCAAATCTCAACGTAGTGAAGAGTGAGGCAAAAGGAAGGTTGTTATGGAAATATGATAGTGCGATAAGTTGGGAGGGAGAGGAAATGGTAAGAGGAGATTCTCGCTAGGTCACTGAATGTAGGAGGGTGACTGGAATTCCATGCAACCAATAAGAGCTGCTTTAAAGTGCTTTTTTACCTAGTGCGCATGCCGGATTCAAATAATTCTCCAAAGGGTGGGTGAATATCAAGCTGAAGTATGGTAATATCTCAGATGGAAACACCTGCATAATATAATAACTATGGCGAATAACATTTTAAATGTTTTAAATTACATTTTGAGTGTTTTGACTTATTATAAGAGTTGGAGTATTAAATGGTATTTATTATTATAGAGAAGAACACAATAGGAGATAATATGTCTGCAGGTGTTTTGGAGAAATTTAGTCATTATTTTTAGAGTCAGGTGTACGCGAATAGGTTTTCAAGATTTTTGAAAAAGTTAACTCTATTGATTGTAGATAGTTGGTGTAGCAAGACTATTAGGATAATGATCAACAAAATCTCTCTATAGATAAGAGAGACTATACTGAATGAATAGGTGTTAGAAAAGATATATTTTCTAACTCTTACTTCCACCAAGACACAATCGAGATAACCCGCATGCTATCACGTCTTCTCTACGTGGTTGATCACATGGTATCACATCTTAGTGTTAGACATCCACGGTTGACACTGATGATGAATAGGTACTGATCTGCCTTAACATGTGTGAAAAAAACATCTGGGGGATTTTATACAAATAATATGACCCAATTTGATAAAAGCCTTGGAGCATTGTTCTTCATCATAACCAAGACGTCTTTTTCATCAGTGGATCGATGATATATGTACACCCCAGATGCTCCACCTACTCCAACGACTTTATAAGCTCCACCTGAAACCCTGCAATTAATGAGACAAGTTCCTGCTAAGTAACATTGGAGCGGGAGTGAGTCAGTAGCGATTGGTCGTGCTCATATCGCTGATATGCAAATGCTGTGAGACACTTGCTCCAACGTGGTCCAAGGTTTAAGCAGTGTCCACGAGGAAAAAAGACGCGCGCGACTCGCGAGTAAGAAGCGATAGCAATGGGTGGAGTCACAAGCGTCCGCGAATCACAGTCATTGGTCGTAATCTTCCCCACCGACGCATCTTGGAATCCCCACTGCTGTTATTCTGCCAGGGCTACCAGACGGACACGATCGTGTAGCTGTAGCACACCAGCGGGGACTACCTACTCTTGATTCTCTTTTTTTTATTCAACGGGCGACCTAACGACTCCCCCACTTCCAAGCGGCTGGACGCCCGACGAGCGTCCGTGTGCCGGCGGCAGCCTGGACCCTAGTGTAGCTGCACACATGCACGCGACAGCATCTATCCACTGCCGCTGCCGCTTCTTGCATTGCTTCTCGGGCTTGCTTCCTTCCGATTGTGATAATAACGGAGCGCCCGGAGGCTTTAGTGAGTGACTGCCACTACTTTTGGCCAGTTGCATCCACACCCTACTATTCTTCTAATCTTGTCGACTAGTTATATTATTGGACGATTCAATTACTCGGACTTGTATAGCAGTGGGATTTTGTGGAGAAACAATAGCGGGAGAGATTGAGAAAGGAAGTAGTGTGATTCGTGAAGTGCTACCGCGCGTGCGAGTAACATTTTATTGGTCGGTTGCCTAAGTATTGAACAGATTGATGATCGTACCAGCATGTCATTTTCGTAGTTACTTGATGAGTGAAATCGTGACAAGACGTTGACAGGATTGTCTGTATGACAGGTGTTAGTCACGCTATGGAAACCTGTCTCAACTACTGGAACGTTATCCCTTCATAACATTTGTGATATAGTGAATGATTTTTCAGAATTAGTGTTCATGTACAGAGTGACAATTTGATATTCAATTATTAGCTTGACATTGGATCTCACGTGGTGTTTGTGTTGGTTGACAATTAAGGATGTCAGTGCGTGATTGGTGTGAAGGATTTTAAGTGTTTCTGTATTATTGTACATCCTGAGGAGGATTTATTTAATAAACCAGAATATTTTATTCAATTAATAACAAATTAAGGGATTGATCAAGATTATTTATGCAAATTATTGATTTAATAACAATAAATAAATAGTTTTGGACCTGACAACAGTGTCTTCGAGAGACGTTTCAGTATCCAAGATCACGGTGGCGGGCACCGGGGTCCTCACTTTTTCGGGACTGATTGTTGAAAAAGGTTTATCACCAGGTGGACAGTCCAAGACAAAGTCCGCAGGGCTGGCGGGACTTGATAGTGAGACGGTGCGCCGGTGGGTCGCGGAGGCCACGCGAACCGTCCGCCAGATACCTCCGCCTGTTTTGGTACCATCTAGTTCTCAACATCAACTCTATCAACATCACCAACAAACCCAACAACATTCAACTCGACGTCAATCACTTGATACCAGTCCTTCATCTGTGGCTCCATCAATTGTTTTTCCCACGTCGATGACTCAAACATCCAGCATGCTGGACTTGTTGGAGAACAACTTGATAACTCAGCAACATCAAGTCCAACAGCAAGCAGCTATCCAACAGAAACAAAAACAAACAAGTAGTCCTACAAATAATAATACCATTGAAGCTTGGAGATCAATGCAAGGAAATCATCAGTGGTGGAGTCCAGCCAGTAGTGTTCATCAAGACCAAGAAATGTCTCCAATCCCTCAGGTTGGCCATGTTCAAAACATGATTACTGGCTCATTGAATCAAGTACAAAGGCTCCAACAAAGTCAACAGTCTGCTTCATCAGACATTGATCAACCCCTTGACTTCTCAGTTGGGTCTCAACAGCAGCAAAGGTTGCACTCACATGTCAGGACTATGCACGAAAGGTTGCAAAGCAGAATGCACGATAATAACAACGGAATTGAGAGTGGACAGAAGATAGTGCGAGGAAACAGTGGAAGAAGAAGTTATAGTCCCAGTGAGGCTAGCACCAGCGCCAGTGAAGATGAGGGAGTTTCTACGGGTGGCAGTCCCTCGGGTCCATTACGTGGAACAGAAAACGGTATGTTTTCTACATCTTGTAATAATAACATCTACATTATGACCAAAATTCCTTTCAATAGGTGTAAACATTACTTATAACTTTGATAATGCGACGGATTTAATGATCTTGAGCTTTAACGTCACTGATGACGTCCGAATTGAATTATCTTAACTTGGATTTGTTGGATTTTCGTAATTTAAGTAGTTATTGAGTATTAATAACTAGTGGGATGATTACAGAAAACTCATTAGAACGTATCATTAACAAACAAGTGTGTTATATCAGTTGATGGTAATAATGAGTTAAAAAGTCATTATATTCATTTTTTTTTGATATCAAAAAATTTCCAACTCATAGAATTATTGTTTGATAATAATCATTGACGCACTTTGTGTTGTCAAGTTGAGTCATATTTGATAATGTACTAAAAGATTCTAATTTATCCTTTGACTTATATAAATAAGTTGAATTATCTTCTCTCTTTCATACCAAGGTATAGAAGTACTAAAGCATTTTGCGTAAATTAGATAGTGTGTGCAAGGTGTCATTACAATGTTACAGTAGAACTCAAAGTATATTACCTAGTTGCCACTTAAAACATTATTAATTACGTGTGAATATAGCTTCAAAGTATTATTAATCATGATATCAATCATTTCTGTTACTAATACGTTGATAATTTTTCACGCTTCATGTGAGACACGCGTTCCTATCGTTCATATATCTAGTCAACTAAGAAAAAATCCTTCGTGAAAGCAAATATAATTGAACAAATAGTTAACTACTGATAGTCATTGATAAATAAATATATAAATATAATAATATACATGTTGGCAGAAATTACTGTCTATTCAGGGAATTTCATTTGTTTTCGTAAAATACTTTGATGATTTAATTCTTAAAAGTTCTCATTAGCTGAGGTAATACTTGATATACTTTTATAGTATTCATATAATTATGAGTAAGAAATATGAAAAACTTTAAAAAAACATACTGATATGATATCTATTCGTTGAAACAACTATAAAGAATCATCATTTAGATAATAATAAGTTTAGAGGACATTCGATCACATCGTAATAATTATTGAATACCAGTCTAATTTTATTTAAGTATCACTTGTATGTCTTCTTTTTATTCAAAGTTTGTGACGATTTTTGACGTTCAGTCAACGAAACACCTCAACAACGTCCGGTTATTGTTTCATGCTGTCCTGCAAAATCGTGGTGAGAATGTCAATTTACTTGAGGTACAACTTTTCACTCCAAACTTCGGCAATTAAATTTTTTTATTACCGCAAATTTGTCTTCATGTATCCTTATGTTCATGACAATGTTGTAACGTGATATGATACCTCTCGTTTGTCAGTAAAGTTACTTCTCGTATCGTTCTATCACGTCATTAAATCTGTTGTAACTAGGGATCAGTTTCGACGAGTTTATTTTTGTGTGAAAAATAAAGAGATACGGTAATTTTCTTGTATTTACTTTTCTATTGCATAAATTATATCTTGTCCTAAGAAGAAGTATGAGAAGTTATAAAATATTACGACACGTAGATGATTCTTATGCATACAATCAAGTATTTAAATTGTTGTGGTTACATTATCTTAATAGCATTGAATACCATAGTAAAGATAATAAACGTAATTATTGATGTCTGTCTATCTATCTACCTTTATATATATATATATATATATAACCAGGTAATAATTATTTTTTTATAATTCGTCATTTCTATGCTACGTCATCCAATTTTTACATTTTTAATAGTTTCGATTGTAAGCATCGACTCCAATGAGATTGCAATTGTATTAAGTGATTTTTTTTTATTTAAAAAATTCAAAAGTTTGAATCGCATTTAAAACAAAACCATCAAGACAACTGGGTTATATGTTTTAATGCTTAGTCATCTTGGCTCTTAATTTCACAGCTTTCGGTATACCTTTACAGTTTGTTTGATCTCTACAAGACACTATTGACCTGCGGCTTGATGCTTTACGTCTACGTCACTCGAAAAACCAAGGCTTGGCTCGTTGTTGCGTTGTACGAAGATAACGTACACGCGCTTATAAGATCCGGCCGGAAGTGTCGAACCGTATGGGGGAAGCCCAGGATTCGTGCTACGACTTGATGAATAATCTTTCTTATTTGGTTATTCTCAGATAGGACCGACGGTCGGTGGAGAGAATTAAGAGTCCAAGTCTTTATAAGAAAAAAGGAATGAAACAAGAGAATATAAGAATGACGTGGTGAATATTTGAGAATAACTTTGGATATTAGAGCTATATATGAGTTCTTGGACCCTAGATCATAGATCATCCCACATCGTACCAGGTAATTAAGCCAACCTGTAATCAGACTGCGCCGACCTACTTACATATTCTTCTTGGAGCTACATCATCACTGGTCACTTTTTCGATTCCGGAAGCTCCTGGCTACATCTTTGGATCATTGGCGAATGAGTTCAAGGCTAGTTCCGGGAATTGACCACTTTCAATTCCATCACGACATCATCTGAATGGTCATCGATACCAAACTCCTCAGGCATTTTCCTAAAATTTTGCTCTCAATTCTTCATCCATTTTAGTACCCTCATTTCATCAATTCTGGGTGGTGATAAAAAAATTTTAGCCAATGGGGAAGTTGATGTTTTATGTGAAAATATTGAATGCCTATTTAATTGTTTCTATGAAAGAATTTCCAGACATCAATCATAGGATATTAAATTATTAATTTTAAAAAAAAGAAAATAAAATTTTGTGTACGAAAATTACCTTAATTGTTTTAATTTAAAAAACAAGATTTAATCAGATACGTTAAATTTTTAATGAAAATGATGATTATATAATTCTCCAAAAAATGTTCTTAATTATCCCATCACATTAATTTCCTCATTCATACCATTTATCAACACTTCATAAATATTCAGTTGGTGAACAAAGACCTCTTCAAATAATTTTCTTTTCCATCTTCATATTTGAACACATGTCATTCACTGAATATATCAACAAATCCATCTATTAACTCACATAAAACCTTTCCTTAAGTACAAATTTTCAAAAGCAAACACCAGAAATATGTTATCAACACTTCCACCTGTAATGCATTGTTAACACAATTATATAATCATCCCAAATAATTCTAAGAATCTTTAAACATAAATATTCAACTTGAAATGTAAATTTTCAAAATATCCTTCAGTTTATCTCCAACCCAAGAGATGTGTGAGTATATCAAGAGCTCCAAACGTGTGTGTTAGGTGCAGGTAAGCTGGTGGATAAATCTCACCTTGGATAGGTCAGGTTGGGTAAGGATTCCAATAAGGAACACAGGCTTGATTGTGGAGGGGTCACGTAGCGACCTTTTATCTCACTCTTTCAGCAATCCTCGTCTGTTTCATTTAGTCGTCTATTTGGCGGCAGAAGTTCCAGGTAGAAGCTAAAACCCTTCTCGTCCCTGTTTATATGTACCAACAACCTTCTGTCCTCATGTGGGCCACACAAAGCCAACAAATCACCGCGACACGCGACCGACTTTCCTCTATTTCTTTAAACATTCAGGATCAAGGGTTGCGCCAGATTGCCACGCGCCGACCTTCACTTTTGTCTTCTTAAAACACATTTATCTCTTGAATATCTCAAGATTTTGTCCTCTTGCCAAGACTATTCTCATCGTCATCGTGAGAAAATATTTCCAACGTTGTAAACAACTGGCCATGGACACCAGCAAAAAAGGAAATGAACTTGTAAAAAAATAATAATTGATTATTATACCAATAGGCTGATTCTAAATTATCAAGTGCATAGTTAGAAAGCTGTATGATGGCCAATCTGTACTAAGGTGAATCTCATCCCAAGGACCTCAAAGAAAACGTGAGCATGAACCGGATAAATGATAGGAATTACCATATTCATTGCATTGTTAGCTCTTTCGCAGGTGAGACGATACACCGTATTTGGTTATCGCATGCTAATCCTCAACAACCATGAGACTAAGAAAGACAGAAGTTGATGGTGATTATACGTGTTTATATACATATAAATAACGTAAAGACTTGTTTAGTCTTTTCCCATTTAGTCGACAGGTGCTGGGAAATTGTATGAGTTTTATTGTCTTAAGAAAATGATGTAGAATCCATCAAGACTCCTATGTCTTTCCTAGGTTTATCAATATTCTTTTGCATATTGGACGTCTAACGAGACATGATGAAATACAAAAAATATATGTGAGAATAATTCAAAGATATTCGAAGAAATGGAAAAACAAATTTTCCCTAGGTTACATTGCTCGTTAAATGTGAATTTCAATGAATTCCCACTATAGTAAATACTTATCTAGTCATTTTTCCAAGCTATATACCATTTATATATAATTGTTGATTCATTTATAAGCCTGTTATACATGTGAAAAATGCGTGTTATTGCGCGCCAAATCCCAACATAGTGCACGGATACTCGTGTCAGATCTAAATCTCTTGAGTATTGATGTACGGACACGTCAGTATATTTTAGCATTAAATGAAACAATATTAAATAGTCGGGTCATCGATAAAGAATGTAAGGACATGTATCTTGCGTTGGAAAGACATAAGATTCCAAATGTATTGCGAAAAAGTTAAGTTATTGCTAATCTTTACGGATATATTATACTTATTCAACTTTATATATCCCTTTTGATACTTCTCATTGCCACTCGCATTCCGGTAAATAGTCAGTTGAGAGGTGCCTAATGAGGCTTGAGAACAAAAGCCTCGAGGCCAAGAGTCACGGCAACACCTCGGAGCATGATTTGGCAATCACATATATACTGTTACGCGTTCGCACTTTTATTATTAAGAACGTCATTTTCGTTGAAATGATTTTACTTGGATATCGATAGGCTAAATGTGAGTCATCAGTGCTCTACAATTGCCAGATAACAAGTGGAAGTGAGAGTTCCAATTACATTTTTACTTTACATAATTTTGATAGATTACATTTAAACAAGTCTAATAACATTTAGAAAGTTGGAGCACAC